ACACACACACACACACACACAAATATGCACAATATAAATACTAATTTACATATTTTCATGTTGACCTGGGTAGCATGGTGGTGCAGTGGGTACACTTTCAGAAATAAAGTTACCAAGCTGTATTTATCCTTACCCCTTTAGTATGTATCTTTTACCTGGAAATGTGAATATAGTTTACCTATTTTTTTATTTAAAATAATTTAAGGTACATAGTTAGACCACTGACATACATTTAAATCTATACTCTAAAACATTTACATTTACATTTATGGCATTTGGCAGACGCCCTTATCCAGAGCGACTTACAATTATCACATTCATACAACTGAGCAGTTGAGGGTTAAGGGCCTTGCTCAAGGGCCCAGCAGTGGCAGCTTGGCGGTGCCTGGGATTGAACTTGTGACCTTCCAATTAGTAGCCCAACATCTAACCACTAAGCTACCACTGCCCCTAAAAGGGACACTACATGCACCTCCCTGCAGAAAATACATACTATAGGTACAAAAGATGGTCCACTTGAGGGTGCCAGCCCAGCAACGAGGAAAAGTACAGTTTGGTACCTTTATAAGAGTGTAGCATTGCTGCCTCACAGCTCCAGCGTTGTTAGAGTGCATGGTGCCCTGTAATGGGCTGCCAACCCATCCAAGGTATATTTCCACCTCACACTCGGTGTTCCTGGGATAGACTCTGAATCCACCTTGATCCTGACCTGGATAAAGTAGTTACTGAATGCAAAAATGAATATGTTGACCTATTGATATAGGTATAATGAAGAAACCTTGTTATTGATTCAGACAGAGGTTACCTTTGACTTTAACCAAAAACCATTGCCTAATAACTTTTACAGCTTCCAGTTCATGTTCTTTGTCCAGTGTTTACAATTCAGATAATTGCAAGTCTGCTTCTGCTCATGCTGTTAAAAAGCAAGGAAATGAGCTTGATTATATAATGCAGCTAAACAGCACCTGCTTATGATACGTGGAGCTTGGTGGGAGATAATGAGAGAGAGGACAGCTTGTCCCACTTAGGCTTAATTGATTTAGATTGAATTCTCACCAGATAACACATCTCTTAATGGATTGCCTTTTAATAGCGAACTTTGCCACAGGCTGTTCCTTTATCGCTCTCTGTTTCTTGTTCTTCTGCTCTTTCTTGGCAAAAAAGAAAGAAATGTAACTTTTTATAATGGAATTTTTTTTCCAGTGGGAGTGAAGTGTGTAGAAAACAAAGAAAAATAATACATCCATTCCAATGCTGTCCTGGACACGGCATACTGTATGTATGTATGTATGTATGTACGTATGTATGTATGTATGTACAATATATGGCCAAAAATTTGTGGACACCTGACCATCACACCCGTATGTGGTTCTTCCCCAAACTGTTGCCACAAACTTGGAAGCACATCAGTGTATGTCTTTGTATGCTGTAGCATTAATATTTCCCTTCACTGCAACTAAAAGGCTGAGCCCAAACATGTCAACAAAAACAACAACAACAACAAATACAATGCATGTATATATACATATATATATATATATATATATATATATATATATATATATATATATATATATATATATATATATATATATATATATATATATATATATATATATATATATATATATATATATATATATAT